GACGGGCCCTCCCACTGCATGGCAGGAGGCCCTGGCAGGGAGCTCAGCTCTGGGCCCTGTGGCCTCTGCCTGAGGCCCTGCACCCGAACCACCTGTGCACACTGGTGCAGGCAGAGCTGAGGCCGCTGTGCCGTGTGCCAAGGGCTGGGACAGGCACGCACCTGCTGCCCAGGGCCCGGTCAGGGGAGCAGGCTCTGCTCATACCCACTAGCTCCTTGCCCGAGCCTTGAGCATCCGGTGCAGAAGAACGTTTTGCTTAGACCTCGTTTTAAGAATCAGGGTGTGTGTGTTTGGCATGCAGCTGGCATGCAGCGAGGTCAGTAAATTCAGGTACTCTTACTGGCTATTACTGAAACGGCTTGATTCAGGGACCCAGTGGGAGGGCTGGAGCCGGGACAGGCCTGGGCCAGGGCAGTTCTGGTCCTGTGGCCCACTTTCTGAGTGGGTGATTCGGAGGCCGAGCACAGAAGAGCCAAGTCTGTTTCCCAGAGAGAATGATATGTGGAGGGCAGGGGCTCAGGGTGGTGAGTGGCCCTTTCTGTGGCTGCACTGAGCTAAAACTTGTGGCCTGTTGGCAGTGGGGAAGAGGGAGAGTGGCCTGCAGCACAGCCTTGGCCAGGAGGGGGCCAGGAGGGGGCCAGGAGGGGGCCGGGAGGGGGCCAGAGGGAGGCCAGGAGAGGAGAGTGCCTCTCCCTGCACGGTGCTGAGTGCCCTGGCGATGGGGTGAGTGGGCACAGCTGTGCCCTGCAGTGTGTGGGTGCTTTATGCATCCCTGGGGCCTTCGTGGGGACAGAGAGGCCCTTTCTCCTGGACTCCTAGGCTGGAGGACAGAGAAAGCCTGAGCTGGGCAGGGCAGGGGCTAGGAGCTAGGGCGCCGTCAGACACAGGTACAGCAGAGCGTGGGGCAGTCCAGTTTGGCGGGGGCTCCCGCGTTCCCCGCCTTCTTGTTGACCTTGGGCAGCAGCAGCACGAAGGCCATGGCCAGGGAGCAGTGGTAGAAGCTGTGGACGTAGGTGTAATCCCAGTCCTGTGGGCAGCGGACGGTCAGGCTGTGGTTTCAGCGCCCCCAGCCCGACCCTCTCCAAGGCCCATCTGTGCCCGCCCTGGGCCTGGCCTGTGTGGAGCCTGCACGATGCCTCTCCTTGCCGTTCCCCGGGGGGGCAGGCTGTGCTGGACTCCTCCCCGCCCCAGGTCCCCCTCCCCCCAGGTGGCGGGCCGGGCCTTCCTGGCTGTGTTGGCGCCTGGCTGCAAGCCCTCTGGGAACAGCACCCACTCAGCCCACACAGGCCACGCTGCTGGAGTGTTGGGGTGGCCAGAACTCCACCCTGTCTAGGGAGGGCGAGGACACAGTGGTCCCCCTGCCTGGGCAGGCCGTGCAGGTGGGCTCTGGTGGGCTGGGTCCCTCCCCGCAGGGCTCAGTACCTCGAAGAAGAAGCGCAGCATCAGGGCCAGCGCCCCGAAGCAGAGGCCAGGGCCTATCTGCTGGGTGTAGACGCTCTTGTCTGGGTACAGGCCCTTCTTCTCCTTCATCTTCCGCAGCTGTGGGGACAAGGCGGTGACAGTGGAGCTCTTGGTCATGGCCCTGCACATTTGCCCCACATCTGCACCAGGCCCGGGCTGCAAGGATTGTTCCCCTGGGCCCTGTGGAGGGCCAGGCTGGACGCCAAGCTGGGAGCTGCTGGGGACCGTTTGCGCCCTGTCCCCTGACACCCCTGCTCTCCTCCTGCTCCTTTGGGGTGTGAACAGGTCACCCCTTGCCATTTCCAGCTCCCAGCCAAGGGGAGCCCCTGGAGCAACAAGAAAGGTGAGTAGCCACGGCAAAGGGGGATTTGGCACCTGTGGGCCTGCCGGCCTGGAGTGCCCCGAGGTGTGCGGGGTTTGTCCATCATACAACCGTCATTGGCACCGGACCCCGTGACCTCCCAGACACTGATACCGGAGGAAGGCTTGAGTATGTTTTCAAACTTAAAAAGATGGGTTTGCAGGGCCAGCAGATGGTGTGGTGGTTAAGGCACTGGACTTCCACATGACCGTGGTTCAAGTCCTGGACCTGGTGGCTTGCTTTCTCACTTTCTCTCTCTCTCTGCTCTTTAATCAAGTTAAAAAATAATAATGATAGGGACCAGCAGCAGATAGTGTAATGGTTATATCGCTAGACTCCCACATAGTCGACTACAGTTCGAGTCCTGGATTTGGCAGCTTAAAACTCACACCAAGCGCGTGTGCATGTGTACCCAAGATCCTGAGATGAGAATGGAGAAGGGATTGTGGCATGGCCATCCCCTCTGGGGGTGATTTCTTGCTTTCTGTCTGTGTTTGGTGAGCACACACTCCCTATAGCAAAAAACTCTCTTAAAAAAATAATGATAAACAAAATTAAATAATTCTTTTTAAAGAATTATTTAATTTTATTTATTCATTTATTTATTTTAATTTGACCAGAGAGAGATACACAGAGAGAGAGAAAGGGAAAATGAGAAAGCAAGCCACCAGGTCCAGTATTCGAACCGCAGTTGGCCATGTGGGAGTGTCCAGCACCTTAACCACCACACCACCTGCTGGTCCCCATTCATTTATTTTTTAATTTGACCAGAAAGAGAGAGAGAGAGAGAGAGAGAGTCAGAAAGCAAGCCACCTGGTCTAGGTCTTGAACCATGTTCGGCCATGTGGGAGTGTCCAGCACCTTAACCACTATACTACCTGCTGGTCCCCAATAATTATTTTATTTTTCTTTTTTGGATAGCTTTTTTGCTATAGGGTGCATGACAGAGAGAGACAGAGAGACAGAAAGCGAGAAATCACCCCCCAGGAGGATGGCCACGCCGCAATCCCTTCTCCTCCATTCTCCTCTCAGGATCTTGGGCAGGTATGCACGCACATGCACCCGGCATGAGTCTAAGCCGCTCAGACTAGGATTCAAACTGTGATCGCCTATGTGGGAGTCCAGTGACATAACCATTATGCCATCTGCTGGTCCCTTAAAGAATTATTTTATTTAACTTTATCCATTTTTTAAAATTTATATTTGATCAGAGAAGGACAGAATGGGTCAGAGAAGGACAGAATGAGAGAGAGAGAGAGAGAGAGAGTTGCCAGGTCTGGGAATTGAACTGTGGTAGGCCATTCCATGCCCATTACCCCCCAGGCCCCCTGCTGGCCCCCAAATTTAAAAAAAAAAAAAAGAAGATGTGCTCACATTTCAAACCCCAAAAGGACAAAGCAGATGCTTGTGAAAACATGAGCCCGAGGGGCCAGAATTTTTCGGAACTCCGGCTGGCTTGGAGTTCAGCAGAGAAGCTGTCACACACCCTGGGGGCGAAGGCAGCACCCCACCCCTGCCAACTGTGGACAGAGACCATGGGTCGGGACAGGCCTGCCACCAAGGGAGCTATGATGAGACGGCCTGGCAGGTTCCTGGGAGGTGCCGCGGGCAAGGGGCCCTGCAGGAGCCCGGGCTCGGTGCACTGGCAGCTGAGCCCGGACGCAGGTGAGCAGGGCCTGGGAGCCCTCCCCTGGCCCACCCTACAGCTGTGGCATCGGGTCCCACAAGCTGTGGCATCGGGTCCCAAGTGGCGGGTGTGCCTGGGACCTGGCCTACCCCAGCCCTGGAAGCCCCCATCACCCAGTCACTTCACTGCCGCCCCTCAGAAGGGACGAGCCTCAGGGAGAAAAATCCAGCCTCATTCCAGGACGCAGCTGCTCTTGAAAGTCTGGAGCTCCACGGGAAATGGTCTAGAAAACACGACTGGAGCCCCAGAGGCAGGGAGCCTCGGCCCATCTCTTGTGCCCGTGACCAGACAGACGGCTCAAGAGCCTCAGGACACAGTCAGTGAGGACACGAGGGGTGATTTCTACTCTGGAGGGTCACAGTCCAGCCGTAGTCAGACCTGGCCCGAACAGCAGGAGGAGCAGCCCTCGGGGCAGGAGCCAGGCAGGCCAGCATCATGCACACCACCTGGGTGGACGCCGTCCTGCCCTGGGCTGCACCCGCCAGTCCCCAGCAGGCCCTTCCCTTTGCAGGCAGCGGCAAGGGCTCTGGGTCAGCCCAGGGGCAGCTTGGCTTCCCCCAGCTGAGGAAGACGCTGGCTCACTGCCGCCAAGTGCGGTCTGGCGTGGCCCGTGGGAGCCTGCGAGGCGGCGATTGCCGTGCCTTCGTTTCTGCCTTTGCCGTGTGGCTAACGGCCCTGTGCGCTTTGGCCTGAGTGAGGAGGGGCCTGTGCGAACGCCTGCTGCCAGGCCTTCCTCTTCCTTCCCAGCGGCTGCAGACTGGGTTGGTGG